AATGTGGAAATACAGACACACACCCCCACACCCACACATCACCCCCCCCCCCCCACACACCCACACAGCCATACCTAGATTCGAGTGGACAATGTCGAGGGCTCTCTCATAGCGCTGTAGTCGTAACAGGATCATCAGGTACAGACGTACCTCTGGGCAAATGCGACAAGAAACAGAAAATGAACAACAGAGTCAAAACAATGCATGTAGGTAACAGAAAGTAGAAGCAATAGGGCTTGAAAGTGTGACGTCAGAAGTCAAAATCTAACGACAGATAACGACCTTTGGACCCAAGTGGATCCAAAGGTCGTTATTTGTCGTTAGATTTTGACGTCTGACGTCATCATTTTCAAGCCCTATGTCGCTGCAGGCCTCCTTTCAATGAACTCAGGTTTATACACAGCGACCTAGCCAAAGCCGGCTCAGCCGGCAGAATGCCGGCTGGGAGGGCGACCTGCCGGCTGAGACAGCTCCAAGGGTTATTTTGGCCGGCTGGCAAACAATTGAGAGAAATTTTAGTTTCTACAAGTACAAGTATTCGTAGCATGCTGTGTTTGGGGATCATTTTTCTTTCAATCATGTCACCAAGCCCACTATCCTCCGCCAAGGTAAGAGTCGACCACTGTCAGCTGTCGAAAATAGGTCCAGTTTCTGCCACTACAATGTCCGAATAATCGTGGAAACAGAACGACCGGCACGGCGGCAGCGAAAACTTCCACTGAACTGGCAGTGGCACTGCACTAGTGCACTGTACTTGCGTAGATCCCGTACAGTACGGCCTACTGCATGCACTCTACTCTTGAGGTCACGCAGTCACCCACTTGAGGTCACGCATGTAGACTGTAGTGCACTGCACTAGCACTTGAGTGAGATGCTGGAGTACAACCCATATCCGTAGGCGTAGGTAGAACGTTGGCCGGCTGGCAGAAAATCCTGGCTAGACCTCTGATACAGACAAACAATCCGTCATTTTCAAGGGCTCCAAAATCACAGAGAAAGAAGAAAGATACAGCGAAATCTCGTTGAGAAAAACACTGATAAGAGAAACGTTCGCTTTGGAAGAACTCGAAGGATCAGTCGGGGAAGTGAACTGCCTGAAAAGAGAAAAAAGTGCCAGACCCACCAGGACTCGAACCCGTTAAGCAGAACTAGTAACTTACTCATAACTCTATACAGTCCATTTCAAAACTATAGACGCGTACCTAGGCAAAAACCGTTATGCCAGCATCTATACCACATAAAATCTGTGATCACTTTGTGCATAATTTTTTCCAAATTGGGCGTCTGTTATCCAATCCTTTAGAAACTATATGAGAGTAATTGTGGAGCGATCCTGAGCAATATTCCGAAAACTATTCTCAAAAAGTTCCAGCCAAATTTGAAATATTTCAAAAACCCTACGCGTCTATAGTTTTGAAATGGACTGTAGGATAGATCACTGTGTAGTCACTGGGTATACAATTTGGATAAAAAGAATTCTCGTTATTGCGAACAAAATTGTTTTTAAATTAATACCATCGGTCCCTTGGTGTTCATCCTAAAGAGGCTTGAACGTACAGAGCTGCTCAGTGAAATCTGATCGAGTCACTCAAGTACGCGCCGGGCGTTGCGCAACCCTAGTACCTGCGAACACTGGACAGTGGAATGGTGCAGGGTCACGCACACTGGACTCAAGCGACCGGATTTTATTGAGCAGCAATGTACACGTACATGTCGTCGGTGGATTACACGGGGACACAAGGGGAAGCGGGGCAAGGTCGAGCAGCCCCGGGGCACCCCTTTCAAAGACAGGGACCATGAATCATGATGATAGGGACACTTGTAAGTGGGTGTGAAGACCAGTCAACAACATACCTGCCTCGGCTTCAATCTTCTCTTCTTTAACCATTTTATCGGCCATTCTCTCTGCCAGTGGGAGATACACGGTGTTGGCTATGCTGTCGGCTGACTCGTGGGCCTGTTCAGTGTGGAGTAGACACATACATAGGCATGTGCGTGTGTGCATGGTGTAAGAGTGTGTGTACGCGGCATGCGTGTGTGTGTGTACGAATGTTTGAGTTTGTGCACACATGAAGTTTGAACGTATACGCACACGCTTACACACACACACACGCTTACACACACACACACACACACATACCTGTCCTGTAGAGCCACTACCACTAGGGTCACGTGGGCCCCGGAGGGGCAGCAGAGAGAGAGAGAAAGAGCACGCCACCCGATGGCGCTCCAGATGCGACACACACACACACACACACACACACACACACACACACACACACACACACACACACACACACACACACACACACACACACACACACCTGACCTTTGACGCCCATCGCCGGAGGCGATGATAGCAATGCTACGGCAGAAGCCATAGCAACTTGTGCTGGGATTACACCATTCAACAGCTTGCAAGGCTGAAGAATTGACCGTCACTATTCAGCCTGGTCTACACCATACAGCTATTTGGAGTGACATTTTCTGGCCAGTGAATCCCTTTTTTGGTCTTTTTCATTTTTTTTTTTTTTTTTTTTTTTTTTTTTTGTCCCGCACACACATCACACCACATACTCCGGCATGCACTGGCTGTTGGTAACCACCCAGGAGAATGAAAGAAAAGTCAGGAAGAGTCTGAGAAAGAGAAGAAAGACGTGTGTGACCATAATCGTCGGGAATCGAACCCGCAATCTATCGATTGGAAATCGCTGCACATACCACTGCACCATATGGGACACACACACACACACACACACACACACACACACACACACACACACACACACACACACACACACACACACACACACACACACACACACACACACACACACACACACACACACACACACACACACACACACACACACACACACACACACACACACACACACACACACACACACACACACACACACACACACACACACACACACACACACACACACACACACACACACACACACACACACACACACACACACACACACACACACACACACACACACACACACACACACACACACACACACACACACACACACACACACACACACACACACACACACACACACACACACACACACACACACACACACACACACACACACACACACACACACACACACACACACACACACACACACACACACACACTGATAGAAGACACACACTTACATGATATGCTAGGGCACAGCAGACTTCACATACACAGCAGCGACAGCAGGAGCAGCAGCAACAACCTACCTGAAGAAAGACGCTCATCACAGCCCAGAAGTAGTATGGGTTCTTCGTCGGGTAGCCTTTGTGTAACGCGAGTGCGGTCTAAACTCAAGAGCAACCGGAACAACCAGAACAGAGAGGAACAACAGCGCGAGAATAGAAGAATAGAGAAATCAGAACAAGAACACCAATGGCAACACAACAGCAACAGTAACAGTAACAGCACTTGCAACAACGGCAATAACAAACACAAAATCAAGGCCATGGCAAAGATGTTGAGCTCAGCGGCATTTGATGAACGCTTATAGCAGCAAGTTTCGTGGATCACAATAAGCTGAGTAACAGCATCAGAGATCTGCGCTGGTTACAGGATGTAACATCAGCAGCAGGAGCAGCAGCAGCGGCAGCAGTACCCCAAACACCAACTGACCTTCTGCTGCAGCTTGTGATTGCCGACACGCACATAGGACATGAAGAGCTGTGCCAGTAGTTCCTCGCTCGGAGCGTTCCTCTCCACCAAGTCTTCGTAGAAGCGGCACAACTCTTCCGCTGCACGAGGCAATCAACAGTCACAGTCACAACAACAACAACAACAACAACAACAACAACAACAACAACAACAACAACAACAACAACAACAACAACAACAACAACAACACTCTCTTATTGGCCACTGGCTATCGTGAGAATAAAGATTTGAAACACCAACGAAAGCAGCAAAATGTCCAGCCGATCCAGATTGATGATGCATATGCTGCACCTCGTCCAAATTACAGTAGAACCTGTCAAGGCGACCACCTGCCTTAGAGGACCACTACACCTAGAACCAAGGTGCATTGTTTTCTAGTCACATGACCCTGGATGAGGAGACCACCTGTACACAGCGACCACATTTTGAAGATCCCTTGAGCGGTCGTCTTAGACAGGTTTCACTGTAGTTAAATAAAATAAATTCATGGTTCGTGTGAGAGTCGGACTGACTTTTTTGAATCCGCAGAAACAACATCACCCACTCCCCCCACACGCACACACTTACACTTACACTTACACACACAAACACACAAACACACACACACACACACACACATACACACACACACACACACACACACAAACATACCACTCCCCCCCCCCCCCCCCCACACACACACTTATGCCACAATCCTAACAACGCAACGTCATTTCTCATTGGCGAGCTATGCCTCTTACGCTGAGCGCTCTCTCGATAGTAGAGCGTCAGTGCTTGCACGGTGGCTTCCTCGGACTGCGCCACGGCACGCACTTCCTTGATGACAGCCGCGGCGTCATCACGACGACCCATACGGAGCAGGGCAAGACCTTTCAGACCCTGACAACAACAAGGAACAAAAGAAAAAATTCCAACAACAATGAGCTTGGCTCCGTCAACAGTCCCACTCTACACAATACAGATAGACATCCCAGACCTGGGCGGCTTGGGACCGAGCGATTTCAGATGTTGCTTGCCCGGATCACAGCAGCAGCTTCTACAGTCGACCTACCCTTATAACGATAACCTCTATAACGATATTACCCTTATAACGATATTTTTCTGGCAAACCAAATCACTCCATTGACTTGTGTATACAATACCTTACCTCTATAACAATATTGCTATAACGATATTACCCCTATAACGATATAAAATGGGCTGACCAATCGACATTATTTTTCCATTTTATAACAATATCTAGCAGGGGATATGTAAAGCCCACTATCAAGGTAGGGCAAGCTTCACTTGATAAGTCGCTGGGACATGACGAAGTGCAATGGGGGCACCAGTAGGCACCTTGCTGTGTACACAATGGGCATGTACGTCAGTTTTCTGCTATAAAGAGTGTAAAAAATGAACAAAATCCATGCATTATGACGTATGTGTATGAAATGAACAAGTTACCCTTATAACAATATTACCCTTTTAACAATATTTCTTGGTTTGACGCAAATATCGTTATAAGGGTAGGTCGACTGTATATACACTAAGTCAATGCTTCTTTGAACATTTCCTTATGCTGTAAAACATGACATTTTAGGTGCATTAAAATTTCGGTGCCAGCGATCTGCCAGGTTTTAGGTGTAACGCAGAATAAGGTAACCAGCTTTCCCTTCACATACAGTGCATACTCTAGTGCCTTTTAGGTGCACTTTAAATTTAGGTGCCTGTTTTCTCTACCGAAATCACCGAAATTAAAGTTACACCGGAAATAACATGTTTTAGAGTATTTCATGTCAGTGTCCTCCTCCTCCTTGGCAACGGATGCACTTCACTGGAGGTCAGCGTATCTGGCTATGGAGAGTATGCAAAACGATGCCATGGTGGTGTGAACTAGCGGATATTCGAGTATGGACACTAAGGATACAGCGTTGCGTCGGCAGAGTGGCTTCCGGGAGCTAGGCATGCACCAAGAGTTGGGGGTTTCCCTTGAGCTAGTTCATCGATGTGCGGAGACTTTGCAAAAAAAGCAGCTGAACAGAATGATGATGATGTAATGGCATACCGGTAACCTATACTAGCACACAAAGAGACGAAGCCAGTTGAAAATCTGATGAGGCCTTTCGTACCACTACTTCTCAATTCAGTACATGGTGATAATCTCTTCGTGTGCTAACATGTTTCCCTCCGACTAAGTCTCTATACAGTCAGACCTCGCTTAACCGCACACATCTGTTTTCCACAAAAACATCCGGATAGGCGAGGTAACCGGATAACTGAACACACATACTGTATATGCATGTGGCATGTCAAAAGTAGTGACATCATACAGACGGGTCCTATGCAGTACGCCTAGCGTGCCCAGTATGTAAAACAAGCGAGAAAAATGACAAGTGCATGCAACTAGTTAACTGAGTGCTGTCCGCACACACCCAGCAGGTCAAGGACCTCATTTGCTTGTACAACTCATTGATACTAGCTTCTGCAGGCGCTAGCCAGCCACATGCAACCGGATATGACGAAGCATTTTGTACACATTTTAACCAGTTTGTACACAAAATCATGCACCGGTATGCGGATCGCGAGGTCCGGTTATGTTGTATGCACAACATATGCTGCACATCGGTAACCAGCGATTTTCTTCCGGATGGCGAGGGATCCGGATAAACGAGGGATCCGGATAAACGAGGACCGGATAAACGAGGTCTGACTGTACAACCTAATCTGTAAATATACAAAAAAATTGGCATTTCACGATTTCGACATTTCGGTAGCGATATCTTTTCGGCACGGGGTCAATGCTAGTACATTACCAAAGCCGATGTGAAAAATCTCATCATCGTTTTAATTTCGGCATTTTTGCGTCGGTGCCGAATATAGCCGAAATTAGCTAGCTGCCGAATTTTTATATTTACAGTACTCAATGAACGCAGAGAGCATGCGTAAGCCAGCCTAATGTGTTAAGCACAGGAGAAACGTCCACTCACCTTGATGCTGACAAAGTCCTTCTGTTTCTTGAGGATGCGGTCGGCTAGCTGAACTGCCTTCTTGTTGGCAGAGTTGTCCAGCGCCTCTGGAAAGCAGACATGCACAAATATGATTGTATATATTTTATGGAACACACACACACATGTCAACAAACAATGGATCACTCGTAGTGTTTTGCTACTCTGAGTGTCATGCACTGTGTGCAATCATCAGGCAAACAATATTCAATGCAACACACACCGTATTTTCCCGAATATAAGTCGACCTTCTAGGATAATAAAAGCGGAACTAAAAAGGGCTAGTCGTAAGCTGGGTCGACACCCACACACACACGCAGACACACCCACACCCACACACATCCATACCAGCACACGCACGCACCCGTATACACCCCCCCCCCCCCCCCCACACACACACATATGTATATGGAGCACAGCATTGGGTGTATGGAACACATAAGCATACGCATGTCGATAGCCATACACAGATACACACATCCATACACACACACACACACACACACACACACACCTCAGACCTCAGACCTGCCCATCGCAGAAGCGATGATAGCGAACAGCTATGTTAGACATAGCAACTTGTGCTGGGATTACACCATTCAACAGCACACACACACACACACACACACACACACACACACACACACACACACACACACACACACACACATGCGCATGCACACACACACGCGCACACACTCACACACACACAAACACACAACTGCTCATTTTCCTCGTGGAATTTGACTGACGAACAGAACTGCATTCGGGCCCACAGTCGCAGGCACATACAGAATTCGACACAAAGCCAGGACGTCACGCATTTTCTGGAATTGGGGCCGGTCTTTTACCACCGCCTGTCTGAAACGAGGGCCACATCATTTCAGGGCTTCTGTGAGGATTGAAGAAAGTGCCTGCTCTGAACGTCGGAGCTCGCGCTTCCTGCCGACTGGCTTGACACTTGACTGAGCTCCGACGTTCGGAGCAGACACTTTCTTCACTAATCACCGTCGATGTCGCAACATCGTTCGTTCTGAGAGGATAGTTTTCAAATGGGGTGAAATGTCAGAGCGCGCGAACTTCTAAGAGTCTCGGCCCGTGTTGCCGGCAAATACGGTAGTCCGAGGAATCTCATCAATCCAAGAACACAGCGGAGGTGCGCACTCTGGTTGGTTATGCATATACAGTAAAACCTGTCAAGGAGACCACCTGTCCTGGAAGACCACCTGTCCTGGAAGACCACCTGCCCTGGAAGACCACCTGTCCTGGAAGACCACCTGTCCTGGAAGACCACCTGTCCTGGAAGACCACCTGTCCTGGAAGACCACTGCAGCCAGGACCAAGGGATGCTATTTCCAGTCAAATGACCCTGGATAAGGAGACCACCTGGTTACAGAGACCACGTTTTGAAGGGCCCTCGAGCGGTCGTCTTAGACAGGTTTCACTGTACAGTAAACCTGCCCTGAGCGGACGCCCTTGGTGCAGCGGAAACTGTCCTGATACGACAGGACTCCGCTTGATCCAGGGATGCACGTTCGATCCACAGCACTTTGGTGCATGAACACTTTGTCCGGTCAATACAGAATTCCGCCTTGGTACAGGGTCTGGTAAACACAGGATTGTACTGCACAATATCATACTAACTAAAGACCACCTGCCACTAAAGACCGCTTTTGCTGGCACCAAGGGGTGGTCGGTAGTCACAGGTTTTACTGTACATGAGCTCCAAAAACCTTGCCACGTGACACAGGGATGAATTTACTGTTATTTTTTTGCATAGCAGTTTTTGTTAGTTGACGGCGCAAGCTAAGCATGGATAGCCTGTATGTATCGCAGTTTTCTGCTAGTCGCGGTGATTTTTGAGTAGCAGTAGATCGATTTTGCATAGCAAACTGCGATGCGATACCGGATAAATTCATCCCTGTGACAGTACACAGAACACTGGGAAAGTGCGAAATAATCTGGGATCCTAAGGCTAAACTACACCTTTACCCAAGCTTGAACTGAGCTCTAGCCATGTTACAGTTGAATTTCTGATTGTCATGCGAGACATGCAAAAGGTACACCCATTTCAGACATTCACATGTACACGACGTGCACACGTGCACCAGTATGCACTGAACCCTTTTCTTCTATTCTTCTTCCTCACAAATTTCGCTCAGGCTAAATGTGAAAATGCAGCATGGTCTAAAAAGCTGAAGCGAGTGCAGCTTTGCAACGATATGCAGAGCAACAGCCTGATTCTAATTTGCAACAAATCCACTTGCTCCGGCTGCGCTGACTAGTCGTCGCTGAGCATTGCATATGTGCGCCTCGACACACGATGTTCATATTCATAATACCGAGTGGTGAAATAGAAATGTTCCTACATGACACTAATACAAAATAAATAAAAGCAAACAAAATCAGAGTGAACAGCTCACCATAGATACTACGGAGCTTTCGCTCTTGAGCCTCGGGGTTCGCTCTGGACGCCATAACACTGGTTGATGGTGCACCCTCCAATGGAAGTACTGTTTCGAAATAAGACGAAAATACCCAACAAACAAGCGATCCGCCTGGTTTTGAACACAAGATCAAGATAAAACTCAAAAGTCAAAAAATAAAAGGTTGAAAGTGCAAGGCCGAGCTCGCGAGCCGCGTGGAACATGTGGAATGCCCGTACGTACGTACAAACAGCTAGCACAAGGGGAAATCCCTCACAATATGGCGACGCCAACATAACACAAGATTAGTTACGTTATTCTTTTGCACAGAGTTTCCCTAGATTTTAGCCAAACCTTTGAGAAAACGCCCATGAAACTCGTCTTCGGTGAAGGAAAATTCATAAACGAGGAGTATTATAACAAAAAAATGCCTCTGAGTTTCAGATAAACCTGTTTGAAATCTGCAGATCGAAAAGTCGACTACAAAAGTAGTAGTAGTGGAAGGCGAAGCTTCGAAGGCGAAGGCTGGAGATTTGAATCTTCGAAAGTGTGCCACACGTAGATCTACGAACTAACTACTTGTGGATAGTGCAAGTGCGTGTAGTGCAGTGCACTAGTGGTGGATGTGAAATATTATAAATTTTGTTTGTGTTTGACTTTGTGTTTTTGGAGTCGGTGATTTGGTAGCAAACGGCAGTCAGTGTTCGCAGGTAGATTTATTACTATTACTGTACTTCCAGTGGCCGCCATCGTATGATTCTGTGCCGGCTATGGCCTGTTTGGCGGACAGGATTGCGCGCGCCTGCGTCCACCATTACGACAGATGCCTGACGAAGAAAGGCAAACCTCGAGATGGCGTGGAGTGGACCCCGATGGCGGCGGTGGTGGGCAGATATCAGGGTGAGAGTGATACTGCATGTAGTGATGGATACAACACTCAACAGCGATCAATGGGCTACAAACCAGGGAGTCGTAAATTTATAAAATACCCTGCTACAAACTACTTTGTTCTGCACGGTACTGTGCACAGTGTGCAGCAAAAAACCTTGTGATAAGCGACCACTGCACCAAAAAACCTTGTGATAAGCGACCACTGTACCAAAAGGTCCACCTGTATTTTGACACTGATCACCTTGTGCCCACGACCATAATGATCGTCATTACACACGTCCAGGTATCTCTGAAGGCGGTGGGGAGACCGTAACAGCACATAGCGTGTGATGCGATGCAGCTGGTGCCCACTTGAAGAGAAAGCAATGACAGTTATGTTACCTTTATTTTACTTCACCATAGGTACATGTACCAGGGGCGTCGGAAGGTATTTTAGTGTGGTACGGTCAGCCATCTGAAGTACATTTTACTGGTGGGGGAGGGGTGGCTGAGCTGAAAATTTGGAAATTTAGAGCCCAGATCAGTGTAGTTCATTGATTCACGGGGTACCTGGGGCAAAAAGTGGCACGGTCAATACCGTAGTGACCGTACCGTGTCTGACGCCCCTGTGTACAGGCATTGCTGCCTTCTTGCTGTGGATCATGAATGATGCCACAGCTCCTAGACTATGATGAAAGTACTTGTGAAAACTTTGGAATGTTGATTGTAGAGAGCCTGAAGCTTGTGTTGTTCCTTGATGTGATTGTTTGTAGTTGTCATTGTACTTCGATTTAGAGTGGAAACGATTTTTAACTTGGTGTGTGCTTTTGTATGTGCATGTTCGCATACGTGTGCGTATGTGTGTGTGTGTGTGTGTGTGTGTGTGTGTGTGTGTGTGTGTGTGTGTGTGTGTGTGTGTGTATGCGTACATGGCATGATAACAAACTCCTGGCTGGTGGTGTCCTGGACCTGTGGAGCAGATAATTCTCGAGATGATCTCTTTGTCATCTCTATGGGGACCGGCTCGAAGTGCGTGGGCCAAAACCAAATGAGTGGGAGAGGTAAGATGAAGATGAGCTGCATCCTAACTTGATGGTGGTGCTACCGGTATGGTGGTGCGTGTACTCCTGCTGCTGGTGGCACTGATGGTGGGTGCTGTGGTGGTGTGGTGCTGTGGTGGTGGTGCTGCTGCTGCTGCTGGTGCTGAAGGTTGTGTTTCAAACCTTTATTCTCACGATAGCCAGTGGCCAATAAGAGAGTGTTGGTGGTGGTGCTGCTGGTGGTGGTGGTGCTGCTGGTGGTGGTGGTGCTGTGGTGGTGGTGCTGTGGTGATAGTGGTGGTGATGTTCTGAATTCAGACTTAATACACCATCTAGTATGATGACTGAGCGGCCACACTCCCGATATGAACTCTTGCAGTGGCTGCTTTCCTTGTTATCTACTCTCACAATTCTTCGTCTGCAGATGTGCCGGGTGATGTCCGGCCAGAAGTGCACAGCTGGCTTCCTGCAACCAGTTCCCATTCCGCTCGTCCGGCTGTGTGTGCGCGTGCGCACTCGCCTACGCGCACCTCGTGCATACATTCTGAACCACAGTACGGCCGGATAGAGTTTGCATGTGGCCCCAGCAGTGTTCACATGCCCGGGGTGCCAGTGCACGTGTAAGTCCTAAGTACAAGGGAAATGTGCACTTCGGGTCGGATTTCACCAAACACGTCTGTAGTATTATTCCAGCAGAATTGTATTTAAAAAAAGGCATGCGTTGATTGTTGCATTTTGTAAGGATGCTTAGTGTGAGGGCCGGCCATACTGGAGAGCAACGACTGATAGGGTGGTGTTTTGTTTTTGCGCATCCTCTGTCTCTCTGTCTCTGTCTCTGTCTCTCTCTCTCTCTCTCTCTCTCTCTCTCTCTCTCTCTCTCTCTCTCTCTCTCTCTCTCTCTCTCTCTCTCTCTCTCCCTCCCTCTCTCTCTCTATATATATCTCTCTCCCCTCTCTCTCTCTCCTCTCTCTCTCTCTCTCTCTCTCTCTCTCTCTCTCTCTCTCTCTCTCTCTCTCTCTCTCTCTCTCTCTCTCTCTCTCTCTCTCTCTTTCTCTCTCTCTCTCTCTCTCTCTCTCTCTCTCTCTCTCTCTCTCTCTCTCTCTCTCTCTCTCTCTCTCTCTCTCTCTCTCTCTCTGTCCTTTCTTTCTTAGGTGATCTACTTCATGACAGTCATGCGGAAGTGTTGGCGCGACGTGGGTTTGTGCGCTTCCTCTTGACGGAGGTTCGCAGGCTGTTGACCGGGGACGACACTTCTGTGCTGTGTGCTGATCATGAGCGTTCGGCTGAGGCGTCTGGGGAGTTTGCGTGTCGGGTCAAGCCAGGCGTGTCCTTCCACTTCTTCACAACGCAGACACCCTGTGAGTGACGTAGACAAGTTGACATGTACACTGTGAAGGATATTCAATGCACGTCATGCATGTCACATAGTGCATTTGCCACTGTAAGGTCTTCTATATATGGGGTGTCTGCGCGCACTTTACCCATAAATGGGCATTTTGCCACTCAGCTAGCTCCCATATAAGGCGGATTCGACGTCATTGCATATCCTCTATAACGTCACATACCTCCATGGCATGGGGCTTGTAAACCTGTAGTGTGTAGACCAGGGAGTCGTAAAATACCGGTATTTTACGACTCCCTGGTGTAGACTAGGTAGTGTGTATGCAAGGGTTGTAAAATCTGTACTTTATATCCAAGGTACTGTATTACTGTAGAACGGGTAATTTTAGCGACGTAAAAACCCTAGCGAATTTAGCGATCGACTCCTTTTCGCTAAAGTTTCAGGTCGCTAATCCGTTGAGACATTAGTAGTGCACTGGTGATCCGTGAGTAAAATCGCTGCAAATCGCTAAAATAAAACGTCGCTAACTGGTTGACAATGGGAAAACACTAAAATTAATAGTCGCTAAAATTACTCGTTCTACAGTATGCAAGGGGAGTAAAATCTGTACTTTATGTCGCTTGGTTGTCCACAAAGTGAAGGTATTGCTTGATCGACCGGAATCGGTTACGGCTCATCGCTGTTTGGACAAGTGGTACTCCGAGGTCTGATTGCGTTGACCAATAGTCGCTCTCAGTTGGCAAAGTGTGGGAGCCAGAAAGAAGAAGGATTCCGAGAAATCTCTCCGGATCTACTGCCTCCAAGCCGAAGCTGTCATTGTTTTTCTCGCGTGCTGCATACAGTAATGATTGATCTGCACTCTTCTCGGTGAGTGCAGGTGTGTATATTCCTCGCCAGAGATCCATAGGTGACGCCGTTATAAGTTCAGGACGATCGTCAATAAATGAATTCAGTTCCATTTCAGGAAGGATAGTGTCGAAAGCAGTCCCTTTCACCCAGCGTGTCGGACCCGCGGGTGTACGCTTTGCCACAGGCTCACCACTTCCCTCACCCTCGCTATCATCAGAGCCATCAACTTCATAATCTTCATCCTCAGACTCATACTCATCTAGCTCCATCTCTCCTGCAGGTTCCATGATAATTATGGTCATCATCCAGTAAATCATCACACTCGTCCTCAACATCGCTATCCACATTTGCGTCACCAGTGCTTTCGGTGGCAAAATGACCAGGTTCTCAGGTGCATTCGCGTTCTCAACAGCTTCCTCTGCTTCCAGCTGTGTAACTATCCTGGATGTCCTTTTGGGAATGGTCTCTCCTGCTGTGGACAGCTCCATCGGCCATGCCCTGCTACAACAGATACGCTACTTTCTGACGAACATTCAACCGCTCGTGCAAACGCACACGCGCAATCGTTTTTAAATCACAGAACTAACGTCGGGCCGCTCTTCACAAGAAATGTTTCTGAAAGTTTCCAGGAGTACTTTCTTTGTCTTCTCCTCAGCAGATCAGGCGGATACAGGCAGATCAGGCGGATACAGACAGATCAGGCGGATACAGACAGAACAGGCGGATACAGACAGATCAGGCGGATACAGACAGAACAGGCGGATACAGATCAGGCGGATACAGACAGATCAGGCGGATACAGACAGAACAGGCGGATACAGACAGATCAGGCGGATACAGACAGATCAGGCGGATACAGACAGAACAGGCGGATACAGACAGAACAGGCGGATACAGACAGAACAGGCGGATACAGACAGAACAGGCGGATACAGACAGAACAGGCGAATACAGACAGAACAGGCGGATACAGACAGATCAGGCGGATACAGACAGATCAGGCGGATACAGACAGATCAGGCGGATACAGACAGATCAGGCGGATACAGACAGATCAGGCGGATACAGACAGATCAGGCGGATACAGACAGAACAGGCGGATACAGACAGAACAGGCGGATACAGACAGATCAGGCGGATACAGACAGAACAGAAACTTTCCAGTATAATATCTGATACTGTAAACGTGCAATTTTCGGTGTAACTTTAATTTCGGTGATTTCTGCAGAGAAAACGGGCACCTAAGTTTAAACTACACCTAAAAGGCACTAGAGCATGCACTGTATGTGAAGGGAAAGCTGGTTACCTAATTCTGGATTACACCCGAAACCTGGCAGGTCCCCGGCACCGAAATTTCAATACACCTAAAATTACATGTTTTATAGTACACAGTGTACAGTACTGTGGGACGCCGAAGAACGGCCAGGCTGGAATTTCACCAATTTTTCAGAACGGTCTTGGCTGGATTTTTTTGCAGATAAGAACGGAAACTGTAGTGTACTAGAGTACTACTAGGGGTGCGTTTGGTTGGTACGATCTAGAACAGGATCGAACAGCTGGTGCACATGGAGCAGCCTCATGCCAACCAAACGCTACTCCAGAAACAGAGCACATTTTTGTGGAAAAATGTGCCAAACTTGGTGCATTCTTCAAAATGTGTATGGATCACCATGGTCACTTTGTACGGTACGACGAGTCCAACCCAAATTGGGCCAAAAGCGTATGCACGTGATCATTTGGTAACAGAATCGATGTTCCCGCCAGGTTTCACTGTGAAAAAGTGAAACTGCTCGGTCTGCTCCGGCCTCGAGGCCGGAGCAAGCAGAACATGTTCTGGCCGACCCAGAACAGGTGCAGTCCCAACCAAACGCGCTGTTCTGGTGAATCCTGTTCTAGTTCGTACCAACCAAACGCGCCCTAGTACTTCATTGTAATTTTTTTCTTCTATTTTTTCACTTTTTTTCACTATACTGTACCCTAAGAAGTAGAACTTTGCATAAATACAGTCAATACGGTCATCTAGGTTTGGATGGTACTATACTACAGTGCATTTCAAAAATACAAACGCGTGATTTCGAGGAAAAAAAAACCCCGTTAGGCCAGCATCTAAACCACATAAAACCTGTGATCATTTTGTGCGTGGAAATTTTGAAACTGGGCGTTTGCTATCCGATCGCTTACACATCCATATGAGAGTAATTGTGGGTAGGACCTGAGCAGTATTCCGAACGAATTCTCGAAAAGCTCCAGCCAAATTTGAAATATTTCCAAAATATGTACTGCGTATTTGTACATGCATGTACGGGCCAGAAGCCATGTAAACTTGCGTTCGTGCAATGATATATTAATTATGTACATGCACGTGTATGACTGTACCATCGAATAAGAACGAAACGGCTGTCTTTGCGAAAAATAAGAATGTGCTACAGTCCATTTCGAAACTATAGACGCGTAGGGTTTTTGAAATATTTCAAATTTGGCTGGACCTTTTTGAGAATAGTTTTCGGAATATTGCTCAGGACCGCTCCACAATTACTCTCGTATAGTTTCTAAACGACTGGATAACAGACGCCCAATTTGGAAAAATTTATGCACAAAGTGATCACGGATTTTATGTGGTATAGATGCTGGCATAACGGTGTTTGCCTAGGTACGCGTCTATAGTTTTGAAATGGACTGTAGGCTGGAACCCTGCAAACTAGCACGGATTTGTAAAAATAAAAAAAAGTTTTACCTGCCCAAATTCGCCGTTTTACAGTAAACAATGGAACACCAGCGAATTCTTCTACTGTGTGACACGCTATTTTCGGTGTAACTTATTAAATTTCGGTATTTTCGGTAGAGAAAACCAGGCGCCTAAATCTAGATTACACCTAAATGGCACTAGAGTATGCAGTGTAAGTGCAGGGAATGCTGGTCACCTAATTCTAAATTACACCTGAAACCTGGCAGGTCCCTGTCACCTAAATTTTACTACACCTAAAATTACATGCTAGACAGTATGATCAGCTACTTCAATGTACCATCAAGAGTATATAACCCCCCAAGAGTGTGCAACTCTGCATATGGGGTCTCCGGCGGCGAAAACTCACCTCACGTGTCTCAGACAAGTTCGTACTACGTACAAACGAAGGATAGCGTGCGCGCAATCCGAATGTCTGCTGGGGGATTTGCATACCCGCAGTGAGTTTCTGCCAGAGAGTGCTTTTTATATTACTCCGCTGCTCGCTAAAAACGGGCTGGAAACGTACAACTGCGGCCCTGCACCACGTGATGTGAGTTTTCGCCGTCGGCGCACCCCATAGAAAGGGTATCAGCCTCATCAGGAGTTGCACACTCTTGGGGGGTTATACACTCTTGGCACCGTGTTTTCCGGATTAGAAGTCGCACCCAGGTTTTTCACGAAATGCAGACATCCACCCTGGTTATCACTGTTGATTTGATCATCTTAGTATAAGCTGCGCCGACTATTTTTTTAGGTGAATTACAAGCGTTTAAAGGGTGGTTTCTACTCCGGAGAATACGGTACTAACAACGAAGACATATCCATCCAGTATACGGGCACCATATTTCCCCGATTATAAGTTGCACTCGATTGTAAGTCGCACCTCTGGTTTCTGGTTTCACCCATATTGTTTTGATATAGCGACTTCATTGGCAAGTCATGCTCGATTGTAACTTGTAAGTCGCGACCCCCTTTTCGCCCTTGAATTTTAATGTGAAAAGGTTCGACTTGTATTCGGGGAGATACGGTATATGCAGGAAAATGCAGGAGATTGGGTATGCGGGATAGGCAGTACCTGTGCTAAGGTGTACAGATTTCTAAGCTCCATTGGGAATACCGAGGTGTCAATGTTCCTTTGGTCTTTTTTTTCTTTTTTTCCCTGCCGCAGGTGGCGATGCTTCGATATACAAACTCCCTGGCTGCCTCCTGCTGCCCACGTCAGGAGCGGACAGTGAACGCAATGCGGCCGGTCCTGCTGCTGCCGCCAGCACTACGACAAAGTCGACACATGCACCAGCTATCTCTGCTGGTGATGTGGCGACATCATCGTCGAGCAGTGCTGTATCGGCACGTGCGGTTGAGAATCATGGCGTCACGCGGCGTGACTGCAACGGAGTTAACCCTCCTCGCAGAACGGCAGACTTGGATTGCCGCCGCACCGGAGATCATCTGTCGTCGCGTTCTGCCCCGTGTCCGGCCAGCAGTGCGGATGTGTGCACATCGCCGGGCATTGCCACGAAACGCAAACGCAGCGATGTGACGGAAGCAGACGGTGCGTTGGGCTCGG